AAAAAGTCAAGGGCATAGGGCTGGCTTACCATTTTGTGGGCTGACTACAAAAAAGAACTTTGAATTTATTTCTGATGCATTTTACTCATACTGGAAGGAAGCAATGCAAGGCATTACATAATGTTTGCCATGGAAAATATATCTTGCTATTTTGTCATCTCTGTTAGCTTTTTGGTCTTATTTTGTTGCAAGGAATCTCAATTTTATGTAATAAAATTGATGAGGTTTTTTCATTTCTTTAAAAATATGCTTGCTCTAGCTGGTTTGGCTCAGTGGATAGAGCATCAGCCTGTAGACTGAAGGGTCCCAGGTTTGATTCCAGTTAAGGCCACATACCCGGGCTGCAGACTCGATTCCAGTAGGGGGTGTAGAGGAGGCAGCCAATCAATGATTCTCTCTTATCATTGATGTTTCTATCTCTCTCTCCCTCTCTCTTCCTCTCTGAAATCAATAAAAATATATTTAAAAAATAAATAATAAAAATTAAAATGTGCTTGAACAAGATTTTCACCCTTTTAATTTTGATACAGTCATCCGTAGTTTCCTCTATTTATGTCATAGTTTATTATACTAAAATCAGGAGTATATTGCCCAGCTGGTGTTGCTCAGTGGTTGAGCATCGACCCATGAACCAAGAGGTCATTGATTCAATTCCTGGTCAGGGCATATGCCTGAGTTTCGGGCTCCATCCCTAGGAGGGGGCATGCAGGGGCAGCCAATTGATGTTTCTCACTCATTGATGTTTCTATCTTTCTCTCTCCCTTTCCCTTCTCTCTATAAAATCAATAAAAACATTTTTTTAAACAGGAGTATATTGTATACAGCAGTGACACTGTGATTTGTTTGCTAATTTACAGAAAAGCAGATTTAGTGGGTCTGGGGTAGAGCCCAGGTCTCTGAATTTTTAATAAGGGAAACACTGATATATAGAATATATATAACCAATTTTAATGTTAAATCAGGGAAAACAATCCCTCCACCCCAATGTGATCCTTTTGAAACTGCAAAGTATACCTTCTGGAGAAGTTAACACTCACCGAAGCTTATTAGTCAAACAGAAATTAGGGTTCATGACTCATACTTTTTAAAAAACATATTTTTATTGATTTCAGAGATGAAGGGAGAGAGAGAGGGGGATAGAAACATCAATGATGAGAGAGAATCATTGATCGGCTGCCTCCTGCACGCCCCACACCAGGGATCGAGCCCACAACCTGGGCATGTGCCCTGACAGGGAATTGAACCCTGACCTTCCAGTTCATAGGCCCAGTGGACGCTCAACCACTGAGCCATGCTGGCCGGGCCCGAGTCATACTTTTAAAAAATTATTAACCACCATCTGTGTGACTAGAATGAACAAGATTAATAGAACAAAATCACAGGTTTTATAAACATAGTTTAACAGAGGAAAAATAATATCTGAGATATATATATATATATATAGTGGACGAAAGGGGCTACATGCTAACCTGACAAGCTCAGGGGAGGCCTGCGTGGCAGTCTTGCAAACTCAGAGACCTAAAGTAACCACAAAGAATGGTCTGAAATTAAACTAACTAAAAGCAGTTATGGTGGGTAGTTACCTCCCAGGGGTGTGTCTTCTCTGACAAGGTCAACCTTTGCCTTAACTGAGCCTATGTGTCTTTTTGCATCTATAATACATGCCCTTGAAATGGCTGGGTAACTTGTAACTTCCCTTTTTCTGGACCCCATGGGGCACTACCTGGCTGGGTGCCAGGACAGATACCACAAATTCCTTCATTATTATCATGTTAATTGTTCTTGCACCCACCTAAGTATGTGTCTGTCATTTTACTTTTTATCCAATCCCAGGGGTTTCTCCCGCTTAGCTGGCCCTCCCTAGGAGCACTTGGTGAGGCAGATTTAGGCTTGCTTTCTGGATTGTGAGCCTTTTGATTAAAGCAGACCTTTGATCCTGAACCTGATTCAGGCCAAGGGGAATGTAGCTGGTGGTTTGTGTAATTATTTACTCACTCCTAAGACCAAATCCTATCTCATGAACATTAAAATTGTGAACAAAATGTTTCAATACAAGAAATTAATTTTTGTTAAATCTATCTATCTATCTATCTATCTATATATATATAATTTTAACAACTTATAAAGCACTTTTGTTGATATGGGTGGGGTAGAAAGGAAAAGTCCAAGCTTAGGCCTTACTTTCCTCTTTAGTGTAAACAAGTTGAGCAAGTCAGCTGAATTGTTAAGGCAAGCCTGCCAGAGAGAGCTCAGCCTAAAGCAAGTATTAAGCAATTAAAACCAAAATCATTGGAGATTATTTGGGAGGGAGGTTCCAATTCCAAGTACACATCATTGTGTCTGGCTCACAAGTTTGCTTCCTAGCCAGGATCCAATGAACTCATGTTTGAGTCCAATGGAGTAAAGGGAAGCTTTCAGAAAAAAAAAATAGGAGGACTATTTTGCTAAGAGTTCTTTAAGACATTGAGGTTTAAGCAGCACTGGGATGGTATCCACCTGGGAAAGTATAATATTAAAGCTGGAGGAGGGGCATTCACTGAATATTTGTAGGAGACACAGTTCAGCTTTGGCTCAGCAGGGACTCCAGAGCGATTAGTGAGACTTTGCACCTAGGGATGGGTGGGGGTCTTGGAAGGAGCAGGACCCAAGAGAAGGACAGCTGTGCCTAGCAGACATGACAGTGTCCACAGGAAGAGAATAGCAGGGCAGGAATAAAATGTGGCATTCACCTGGAATCTCACAGGAATTGTGAGTGCAAGTGAGCCCTCCTTCCTGGCCGCGAGTTTGACATGCTTGCTCTAGGGGTTGGGGTCCTGAATGTTGCAGATGGGGAAAAACACACAGCTCACATGATTTTTACCTCATTTGGTTCCACGGCAGCCCTGTGAGTCAAGTATTACTTTTATTTAAATGGGGAAAGATTGACCCTTAAATATATATTTCTGCCTGATATTCAGAAGAAACATGGGATTTACTTTTTCAAAGTTCTGACAAGTATTTATTAAGTGCTACATTGTCTTTATAAGGTGATAGTGTATAAATTGCTTGACATTTCCCCCATTATTTTGGGGTGTGGAATTTTTTGCAACACAAGTAAAATGTGTTCGTCCTGAAAAAAATGAGAAATTCCAACAAAGCAAAAATGAAAAACAAACACCTATTATCTTACCACAAAAACAGCCACTGTTAAGCCTTTGAAGTATATACTTTGTTTTACTTTGCATATTAATATATAAATATACATTTTTTTACAAAAATGGGATACTACATATACTTTTTGAAAAATGCTTTTTTCACTTCACAATATATAATGTCCATCTTTCCATGCAAATGGATGAGACACATGATTGATAGGGAGTCTTGCAGATGGGAGGGGAAGGAAGCCCAATTTTACACCAGTTACAAGCGAAACACCTTAAATAAAGCCATGCAAAAAAAAGTTAAAATTAAGATGGCGAGAGGGATTCGAGTGGCAATACTGAAATTAGGCAAACCAGCCTTAAAGGCCGGACACATTAACTAGGATAAGGACGGTTCCGTCTCGCCTTCCAGTGCATGATCATCAATTTGTTTCGTACTCTTTTCATCTCTTCCATCTCCTCTGCTACCTTTATCATCTCCTCGTTGCTCAAATTTCTGCCGTGTATTTCCCCTTTAAACTGTGGACGAGAGCGAGCCAGTCTTTCCTTAAAGCTTCCTTCTTCCAGCTTATGTTTTCCCACTCCGCAAGGAGGCTGCTCCATGGGAGGGCGCGCCTCGAACAGGTCCGGCTCGGAAAGGCGCTCCTCTAGGGGGCGCCCCTCGGACATCAGCAGCTCGGGAAGGAGCTCGGGAAGGAGCT